AGGCGAATTACGTCAAACATCGGTACAGGAAGTCTAGGACAATCCGTTTGGGGTTTGTCAACCAGCAGATTTCCGGCTTTTTTTCAATAAGTGAATAACATTGGGTTTTAAAATTTTAAAAATGTTAATCAAGCTAGCCAACTGAAATGTGAATGGCCTGAGAGATCAGCAAATTGGTGCTCTCTAGTGACTTACGGGAACCAGCAGACCAGAAATGTTTCCTTACGGGTTAAACGTACCCTGGGGGAGAAGTTGGACTTTGCCCGCGTCAATGCCAATAACCTGTTGATTGTGTCTGATATTGCCGTGAAAAGTCGTCCGTGTCGTTGCGGTTTATGCGCCCAACGATCAGGAGAAGTGTGTCTCCCTTTCGGTCGGTTGGGACCATTTCTGGTGGATTTCTCACTCTTAGTCTTAGTGGGGAACTCGAAAACCATCCAGGAACCCAAACTAGACAGGGCCATGGAGTTAGCGGGACGTCGGACGATCGGAGCCCGGCTGATCTGACCGGCGAGTTTGATTTCGTCGATAGATACCGTGTCGATCACTCAAAGGGGGAGATGGACGTGCCTTGCGCGGCCGTCTACCCATGTACCCAGCTCAAGTGAAGTTCCCTTGGCATTGAAGAGGGTCGGCAGTGGCAAGTCTCCGGGACTTGATGGCTTGCTCTACGAATTGTACATGAGTCTGTTTCACATCTTTGTGCCGATCTTGACAGTAGTGTTCAACAACTGGTCCTGCAGGGGGCCATCCCCGGTCGGATCTCCAGGGGTGTGAACACGCTGTTGAGAAAGGGCAAGGATGGTGGGAGGGACTTAGACGTATTTAGGCTCATAACTCAGCTAAATACAGTGTTAAAGATTTTGACCATGATCCTGATGGCGCGTTTTCAATCAGTTGATGAGAGTTGTTAGGACCCGAGCAGACTTGTCCTGTGAGGGGACGAACAATTCAGAGCAACCTGCATATATTCCGCACGATCTTAGAGGGAGTAGAAGTCGAAGAAGCCGCGTTTATCAATTTGGATCAGTCCAAGGCTTTCGATAGGGTCGACCATAAGTACCTGGCTGCTGTCTTGCAGGCTGCCGGATTCCAACTCGTCTTCTACAAGTGGATCAGCCTCCTGTATCGCTCACCCCTGTACTGTGGTGAAGGTGAACAGGAAGCAGTCAAGCGATTTTACACTGTCACGATCGGTTCGGCAGGGTTGTCCACCGTCGCCGCTACTATATACTTTGCGTTGGAACCGCTCCTTCGCCGGCTGAAGGTCAGGGCGTTCAGGTTGGGCTCGAACCAGGATTTCCTCGTTCACCAATGTTATATCCATTTTCGTGTCGTGCCACAGCGATATTGAGGTGGTGCAGAAGACCCTTGAACGGTACGGGAAGGTGACGGGGGCCAAGATTAACTGCAAAATGTTTTCCGGTTTGCTGTTAGGTGCCTGGAATATGGTCAATCTCCAGAGGCTCTTTGGTTTGACGTACGGTCGGACGGACCTGTCCGCATTCTTGGAGTGTGTTTCCGGCCCAGAATTCATCTGAACAAAAAATAGTCTAAAGTCCTGGTAAAGTTCGGCGCGTCGGTCGAGATTTGGCGCCGAAGGCGGTTGTCCTTGAAGGGTAAGCCGGAGCCGTGTGCCACTTAGGTCTTTCCCCCTTTTCTTCTATCGGCTGATGGTATTTCCTCTCTGTAAGGAACGTAAGAAGGCGATCGAGCGCTTACTGGTATCCCACTTGTGGAGTAGTCACAATTATCACGTCGACAGAGGCGTCTGTGCCCAACGTCGGTGTCATGTGGGGAGGCTGAGAATGGAGTGTTACCGACATGACCCGAAGCGTTGACAGAGGATTCCGTCGTGTTGAGCAGCCTGAGGACCGCATTCCCTCGCCTTACAATCTCTCATTCAGTTTCTAGGGCTGAGCGCTTTCGTAAGCCCTGTAATCAGTCGGATTTTCTTGCTCGAGTGTCGCTCGGTATAGGGACCTAGTGCCGCGGTTTGAGAAGGATCCACTATGTGCGTGGCTCGGCTTGTCGGCGACCGATTCGTGCTTCTTTTTTTTATCTTTAGGCCGCCAGGCACAGATTAATCAGCAATCCTGAGTTTCTGATTACCTGGCGATTGGTCCGAAACAAGCTCTCAATGACGTAGCCTTCAGATGGGGTGGGGCAGATTTGCCCGACTGTCGTCGGTGTGACTTTGGGTTAGAGGAAACAGTTTCGCACGCCTTCTACCATTGTCCTCATGTGCGCCCATTCTGGGACGATGTCGCCGAGCTGACGGCTCGTATCGATCGCAAGCAGCTCGAGACCATTGGCGCGCATACTCGTGTGATAATGTATCGCCCCGGTACTCTAGCTAGCCGTGTTAAGAATGGTGATATGGACGTCGCGAATCGAGGGAATCTTGCGAGACGAACGCTATTCTCATCAGGTTCTCGCCGGATACTTTCGGAATCAGCTGAAGATAAAGATCAGAACTGAGAGAAAACGTTTGTTATCG